GTTTATTTTTCAGCTCTTAACAAATGTTGTATAGCATAAATATATTCTCAAATTAGGAAATGAAAGTTCACCACATCAAAATCAGAATCCTCAGAGTGCAGTGTCTGCAATTTAGGTGTATCTAATCAATACTTAGCTAAGTTATAAAATTTTGCACCTACTATGTTAAAGATGTTCAACGCTACAACAATATTTCTCTACCAATTTTGGATTTCCTACTTATTTCTCACACTATGTTGGAGCTATTACAAGCATTACCCAACTTATTTCTTAAGATCTCTCATTTTTTTACAATATTGCTAAAGTATCTAATAAAGATAAGATATTTACAATTTAAAATTTTCTAAATTCTCTAAGTATCGAAAACATACACCTATAGTGTAAAAATTATTCCTAAAGATCCTAGTTTCAATAAGATTCTGCAACATTCCCTACAACATTTTATACCAAATAATCCTCATCATCGGACATCACTAAAATTCCCTTAAAAACTTTATTGATTTCTACAAAATTATCCTATGGCATTATCAATGCAATTCTTATATTCAAAACGATGTTTATAAATGCAATATTTAACTAACAACACACCCCAAACCTAAAGGATGCATTATCCCTAATGCATGGAATAAAACAAACAATAAAAACTAAAATAAGAGCTAATACAATAAACTAAAACATGAGAAAGGGAAGTAAAACTCCCTCAGTGGGTTTCTGTGGGATCTTTCGTGAGCTGCAAACATTTGGACGGAGACGCTTTGCTATTATTTTGGCCTTCATCGAGCTTTTCCTTTTTTGACTGGCCGATATTGATGTGGCTTTCACCATAATAGCATCAAAGACTGGAGTCGTGGATTCTATAGCATCCAAAATTTTCTTTGCTTCTTCTTCTGGTCTCTTAGCATTGGTGGCCATAGTAATAAGAGTGCCCTCAGGATGAATCACAGTAGTTGATTGCTCAACAACAGTGATGACCTTGTTTATCACATTCCCTGCATCCAATTCAAGTTCCTCAACATCTGTTGCATCTCTAGTAGCTTTGTCTTCAGTTAAATCTAACAGATGTGCCACAACTTGCTCTGCTGGAGCATTATATCCTTTAGTGATTTTTTTCGGCTATATTCGCTACTCAAATTTTATTCTTCATCCAAAAGATAAATATCCTTTAATGCCACTACAAGTATTTTAGTGGACTTTTCCAACTTCGCCTCTTTTTCACTCTCTTATTCCTTCTCATCACCTTCCACTTCCTCTTCAGCTTTAGAAGATTTGGTATCATAGCCATCGTCTCTTCTTCAGCACACGAATGTGTAGCGGTGGTACATTTTTGTACTTTCTTAGATATGTTCAACATCAGACATCATTGACTACATCAAATCCTCCAAAATCTTTACTGAAAATGCCAGAAACATTCCCTTAAGTTCCATAAACAACTTGTCAAAACATCATTTTGGTGGATATATCCCTACTCTTGGAATAATTCCATTATTGGACCTGTGCATTGTGCATTTAAGATTGATTCTAAAGACTATGGCTCAACGGCGCCATGATGTTATCTTGCTTACCACTAATAGATGCTATAGCACTATTCAGTTCATCCAAAGTGTGGTCATCCAAAGGCGAGAGCTACACTGTAGAAATGGCAATACATGGCTCATCATGAGCTTCATTGGGGTCAACTATTTCCTTCAACAAAGTTTTTCCTCACAGTTGTAGGGGTAATCAGGCTATGATTCTCTTGATAACACAATTCAAAGATTAAAGATAGAAAATATAAATAGCCTAAAGTCTTTCGAGCACAAGAAAATATTTTAACAGATATAATCTTCCCAACATTAATTTTTCTTCCCGATAAAATAGAGTGAATTAGCATAATCCTATCATTAGTAATGGTAGAAAAGTCCATAGTGGGCATTAAACGAGTTCAGAGGAAAATGAACCATACCCTAGCATCCCGATGAAGATCTAGTCTCTTGATAGTGCGAACATCAATTATTGATCTTATCCATGATTATCCTGGCAAGCACATGTCTCTCTACTTGCTTTAAATCTTCTTTAGTAAGATTTTATATGAACGTCGAATGCTCACAAGGCTCTTCAGCGGTACCCAACAGAGAACTAATGGGTTTCACCCACCAGTGGACCATTTTCTCGTGAAAGTACACCAAACTTTTAGTTTGATCGGTAAGGTTGGTATAGAACTCCCAAACCACTAATTGGTTTATATAGCTGGGTGATTATAAAGTTTCTCCCAACCTCAATTTGGTGATCATTTATGACATATAATAAAAATCTGGGGTTCCTCTCAATAGAGAGTTGAAACCCAACTCAAACTAAAAGTCATGGTTAGAAAACTCTTTGTCATACTACCGCCGATTCTCCCCATTCATAAATCTCATCATATCTTCAGGCGGCGCAACTTCTCGTAATGCAAGTACTGACAATGGTGGAGTGGGTGTGCAACCGTACGACTTCTTACTTTCTTTCTTCTTTGGTGTCATGGTAGAGATCATATTAAGGTTTAGTTGGAGAAGAAAGATATAAAAAAGTCACAAAGAGAGTGAAACTAAAAGAGTAAAGTAAATAGGTTTAGATGAGTGACGTGAAAGAGGGGATAAAAATTAATTTTAAAATTTAAAATTCAAGAGTGGAGGGATAAGATTTGGGTTGAATGGACGGTTATGATTGGCTAAATTGGTCAGTTACAAATTTAAGGGAATATAAATGGTTTAATGCTTAAAGTTACTTTCACCATAGAAGAAATATGTTCAGTTGTTATTGTTGTGGTCGTGATAGAAAAATTGAATGTACACTATAGTGAAAAGTGCTATACATCGAAGATCAATTTATAATTGGATTTAATCAATAATGTTTAATCGAACTACTATTAAGGTCTTCCAAGAGAATTTTGTACAAAAAAATGTTAAACTAATACCTTTTATATAAGCAATGCTCCAGGCAATAACTCTCTTGTGTTGCTTCAACACATCAATCAAATGAGCTTCCTGAGATGTTGTAAGCTGTGCTACCACCATGACTGGTAGTGTTTCATTCTCTCCAAGGTAAGCATATTTAAAGTGCTCTGGTTGAAGTTTCAACTCAAGAACTGGTGGTTCCTCAATAGATAGATTTGGAGCTCGAATAATATGATCAAACATTTCTATAAGTTAAATATTATGCATATAATTGTTACAACATTCACCATCGACATCGTCAAATAATTCTTTAATTGTTGCCGAATTACTGGTGACAATATATCTGTTACAAAATTCTTCCTAGTACTTATGTGTAAAGACATGAATTACATCAAGTGAGAAATATTTTATAGTGTCATTTATATAATAAACATCAATCAAAATATTAAAAGTGATATCCTCATCATTTAAACACATGGTCAACTATCCCTTTTCAACATCAATTATAGCTCAACTCTTTGCAAGGAATGGACGACCAAGAATAATTGAAACATCTTTATCCACTTCAAAGTCCAAAATAATGAAGTATGTGGGAAAAATGAACTTGTATACTCTCACAAGCATGTTTTCCACAATTCCACTAGGATTCACAGTAGAACGATCAACAAGTTGTAAAGTGATTGTAGTTGATTTTACTTAGCTGCACCCAAAGGTCCTAAAGATTGATAATGGTATTAGATTTATGATAGTACCTAAGTCATATAAATATTTATTTAAAATTGTATCACCAATATTGCAAGTTATAATAAAACTATCTAGATCTTTAAGCTTTGGTGGCAAGTGACTTGTAGCCATAGCATTACATCATTTAGTAAGAGCAACAGTCTCAAATTCACCAAGTCTAAATTTCTTCGAAAGAACTTCCCTCGTGAATTTGACGTAGTTTGGGGTTTTCTTTAAAGCATCAATCAACGGAATGTTAATTGTGAGTTGGTGAAGGACATCATTGAAAGCTTTATATTGCTAATCTTTCTTTTTCTTTTTGAAGCGTTGTGGAAATAGTGGATGAATCTTGGGTTGTTGTTGCAGTGGCCTTAAAGTTGGCGGAGTGTCAGATGTTGTAGGTGTAGTTGTCAGTATTGACTCTGAATTAATACACTATCCTGCATATGATGTTATGGCACGACTCACAAGTGGCTCTACTCAACCTCTTTGTTGTTTCCCTTTCAATGCTTAATATTCTCCAAATTATTTTGCTTAGGCTCCTCAACTTGCTCCCAATATGAATTCCGCTCGTAGTAATAGCCTTTCAATGCTCTTTACCTTACTGCTTTGGATTTTCAATATCGCTAGGTAGCGTTCCTTGCAGCTGATTATTAAGAACATTTACCATTTGGCTATCTAATTCTCTGGAGCCCTTAAAAATGCTGATTGGTTAGCATGCATTATTTCATCAAAGCTTCAAAAGATGACAAAGTTGATGTTTAGGTTGAATATTACCCTTGATAAGTATGTCTTTGTTGTGATGAGCAACTAAATGATGTGTTTACAGTTGCGTAATTGGTTGTTGTTGATTATAATGTTACAACTAATAATGTTGTTGCTACGGATTAGCAACGTTCTGACTTCTATAACAAAGATTGGGATGATTCCTGAAGTTAGCATTATATGTGTTACCAAAAGCGTCATCGTTCATTTGATTTATGCACATAGTAAATAGACTATGGATTTTGGTGGAATTCATCAAAGTTATGACTATCTCCACAATAAAGACAAGTGATGAGAGATACAACCTTGACTTCATACATTACCCCTGGTTTTTGCAACTTTTTTATCATATCTGTCAATGCTGAAATTTGAAATGCCATAAAGTTGAAAGCTTTAGAATATACTACTGGAGTGTTGCATTGATCAAACATATTTCTCATATTAGGGCATTAATAATTATTATTTGAGATTCTATCTAGAATATCATAAGCTTCATTATACATTTTATCTAGCAATGCTCTATTTACTGAACCATCGACCACCATACGAGCATGTATGTTTAACCCATTGTAAAACATCTCTATTTGATTCTAATGTTGAAACCCATGCATAGGACCCTTTAGCAGCAAATCCTTGAATCTTTCTTATGCTTCATACAAGCTTTCATCCTCCATTTGCTTGAATGAAGTTAGATCATTTCAGAGATTGGCATTCATGTTTGGCAGGTTGAATCACAACAAAAAATTCTTCTCTAACTCATTCCAGAATGCTATAGCACCTGGTGGTAGTGAAATCAACAAAGCTCATGCTTTATCACATAACGAATAAGGAAATAGCTTCAGCTTCAGTGCTTTCTCCAGAGCACCTTTCCTAATAAGCGAATCACAAACCTCCATAAACCTCTTAAATGACCCCTAGGATCTTTAGCAATAGATCCTTTGTATTATCCCATAAATTGTAACATTTAGATCATGACCGGCTTTAACTCAAAGTTTGTAGCATTATTCACTGGCCTCACAATACTTGGATACAGATAATCGAGTGTCAGTACTACATGTTCTCTGATAGGTTGATCACAATCATCCATATTATAAAATGGTTATCCTACTTCATTGTTAGCGGGAAACTCAACCTCCTCTCCATTATGCAGCGGGGTAAAACAACATTCCCTTGTCCAACCATAGTTACTATGTTTCTTGCGGCTTCGCAACGACATCTCCTAAAAGACATTTCAATCTCTAGATCAAATGACTCTAATTTGTAGTCACTACGGGGCATAAACTAGTAATAATGAAAGCTAAAAACCACCTACAAAAGAAATAACAAAATAAGAAAAATAAGAAAACCTCTAAATACAACCGATGCTCCCTAGCAGCGGCGCCAAAAAATTGATGCTTGGAAAATACTACAGCTTAAGTGCAAGTATACATCAATGCCCAATTATTAAGTGGTAACTCAAAGAGTTACAGGTATTATATACACATAGAGGAAATTTTTCTTCATTAGAGTTTAAATATGAAATAAATGACGGGTATAAAAAGTTGCTAATTAGAATATATAAAAATCAAAGTAAGAAACATCAGGTCATGCTACAGCAATACAGAGAGCGTCAAGTCAGCAATCAAATAACATGGAATAATATAATGCAAATCATACCTCAAGTAAATAAAACATACTACCTCTATGTGATTAGTAATGATTAAACCCATTTGAACTAATCTAATCAACTTTCATTAATCAAAGGATTCAAACTATTTACAAAGCTATACCATTGGATGCATGCTTTTCAACACACACTGCTACTCAACAATACCAAGGCTATCAAAAGTGCACAACAAATCAATCAAATCTATTTCTAAAAATTAATTGAAAATACCATATGTTTAATCACTAATATTTATATTAGTAATCATTAAGAAAAAAGCACACAAAAGTAGTAGCAAAACACACTCAAAATAACCTATCCAAAATTTCATCCATAAAGTTTTGTAAATATCCAAATCACTCACTCTCTCAATAGAAGGTTTCGAATGGTGATATGTTGACTGTCGATGCTACTCAGAAAACTCTCCTTATGTTACAACAATCCTTGTTAGGGTGATTAAGCTTCTATGGAGTATGGAGGAATACATGTAAAATGGGTACTTTTCTGGTGGCTTTCAATCATACTCTAAGCTTGCAAAGTACTCCCTTATATAGATTTGAGGAAATTTTCATCCTCTAATAGAGTTTCCATCCTGTTGATAGTTGCCCAAGCCAACTATCCCATCTACAAAGTTCTCTTAATTATATCTAGATTCTTAGGTTGTTGCAGTATCCACTCAACATTTCCCGCAATGCTACGGTATAAGTGTAACAATTTTACAGCAACAAAAATCATTTTATGCCTAGACAACCCACTAAATTCTCAATATGTAATATATGAAAAATTAAACTAATATGATCCTAAAATACTCCTAAAGGTTTTCAAGTTCAAACTAAACCTAGGAGAAAAAGGCTACTAAATATAACTCTTTTGGAGAGTTATCAATCATTACTCACTAATTTTGAACCAACCCGTATTGACCATGAGTATTAGTTATTGATTTTAATATGATTAGCATTACAACTATCTTTAATACTAATTCAATTATTAAATAATTATCTTAAGTACTGAATCGGGCCAATCCATTTTTCAGACTGACTGTGAAAAATATTATTATCGTTGTTAGCTATTTGTCGAGCTATGTATGTATTCTATGCTACATTTATTCTTATTGGTTGCTTACTTGGTTGGTTGGTTGTAAATTGATTGAAACCATGTCTTACTATGAAATTTATGATAAATATAATTTAAAAAATGCATGTGATCTATGTAGAACTTTTGGAATCAGAATATATATTGTGCATAAAGAATATGTGATTGTGTTGAATTATTGGACTCAGAATATATGCTTCAAAATATTTGATTATGTAATATTTTATATTCGGATCGAATAAAAATTAGACATGTATGTAATTTTGCAGGTCATATTAGGTTGGATTTTGATAGGGAAGTTCAATTCATTCACTCAATTGGATGAATGTCACTTTCGGATTCTGTGGCCTTTGCCTTTGTGGCAAACGCCACTTCGGTTTGTGTGATTGTAGTTAGAGTGGTTCTAGAGAACATATTCTTCGGACAGTGTGAGAATATTATAAGTGTATAAGCATTTGCATAACATTCAAATTTTTTATTATCACTGTTAATTCGGACTATGATTAATATTGATTGATTCAGACTATGTTATGAATTGTGACTAATTGCACTTTAGAGACACACTAAGCTTAATAGCTTAAACCCTTTTAGTTTCTCTTTCTGATACTTGAATCTTGGTAAACTGGTACTTGGAGGCTTTCATATTCAAATTTTATTAATATTCATAGTATGAAAAATTTTACCTGATTCATTAATTCAGGTTTCATTAATACTTTTATTTGGGAATCATTATTATTTATATTAATTTATTTTTGGACATTGGACTTTTAAAATTGAATTTTGAACTTTGGTTGATATGTGTTTGTTTTTAGTTTACTTTTTAATCGAATTAATTCATTTTCTTAAGCATTAAAATCAATAACATGAGGGATAAATCTGATGTTTTATTAATATAATTTTGGGCTAATTTTGGGGAAAGTAAGTTAATGGGCCTTTTGGATCTTGTATATTCATACTAGGTCGGGTAAAGGAGGATAGATTTATGCATTCGCACCTCTACATTTCGCATTGCATGATAATATTTAACCATTTTTGCGTGCATTAATCCTAGAGTATATGAGTAATTTATGGAAGATTTCGTGATAGAAATCTTGAAAGCAAATTAAAGACACCCTGTTTATACCTAGAGAAGGGTTAAAAGCCATGTATATGAGGTTAACGCCATACGTACCTACCTAGAGAAGGGGCATGCACTTCTGGTAAGTAATGGCACATCCGGATACGAATTGAGAGAAGGCTATTTCATCCTCCATTAAGCTTTATTGCACTTGCATTGTCTTGTTTGAACTTGTTATTATTCTTTCTTTATTATTCCCTTAAATATTTTGTAAGTCGTTTGATGATTGAACTTATTATACCTTCTAAGGTTATGAGCAATGAAACAAGTTCTAATCTAGTACATCTTTGAATATCAAATGAATTAAAGGCTTTTTTAAGGATCAAGATTATAATCCATTATCATGTGACAAGATTGGACCTTTTGTATCTCATTCGAAGCCCAAAAATATAATCACTCGATTTTTTACCCAAAATAATTCATGATCAAAATTAAAAGAACCATGTCTTGACAATACCTCTTCTTAGACAGAGTCTATCTTTTCATGACATTACCTTTCTACAACGATTTGGCTTTAAAGTTACACCACCGTTTTCTAAGATGCAAAACCAACATTTTTAAACCGCGATAAAGCCTAAACGCATTGTGAATAAGATGGTTATTTATGCATGAATCATTCTTGTAAGAGAAACGAGATGAGGAATCCTGGATCAACTTTTCAAAGATAAGTTTGAATAATTCGGCATAGCAAGAGTGAGGATAAGAAGAAGAAATAAAGGAAGAATAATAGAAATATTTCTATCATTTATTAATTACACTGTTTTCATGTGAATAAAAGTTAATATTGAATATCTATCCCCTGGGGATAGCTCTTTTGCAAGGAATTTCGTGTATGAAATGATTAACAATCTTATTTAACTATCTCTTCATAAAAAGAAAATTTCTAGTTGCTTTCATTGTTGATCCTACTGTAAATTTCTTTTTATTAAACCCTAACCAAGGATCGACACGTACACTATAGGGCATAGGTGAAGAAAAAAGTTTGCTCACATGAAATGTAGATTATAATCGAATTATGAGTGTGAAGCTGAAATGTCCTAAAATCGAGTGTGGTAGTTAGGGTCGGTTTCGGGTCGATTTATGGATTTTTGATAAAAAGGAAAAAAAATTATGAAATTTATATTTGGTTTTAAAAATATTTCGGAAAGGTTTTAAGTATTTTATATGATTAATTTTAAGTATGAAAGTTTAATTCAATGATTTGGTGATCAAATTAAAGGAATTGGAAATTATAATTTTGGTGATCATTTTGTAAATTTTTACGTCTAAAGTCTATGAAGCAATTATACCAAGGCTTGTGTTTAGAGTTTTCCCTCCAAAATTAAAATATTTTAATTTTCCCCTTTTACTATTTTTCCATCTAGATTCATTTTAATCCAAATTATATTTCCTTATTTACTTATTTTCATTCATGTACTTTTAATTTCTTTCTTATTTTGCATTTTCGTAACTTCCCGTAACTTCCACCATTTTTCTCTCATTTTCTCCCTAACTTGTTGATCAATTCTTTCCCTTTGTCTTCTTGATTTAAAATTCACTCATCTCAATTTTGATTTTAATTCTCAAGTTTATCTTCTCTTTTCTTTGTTTTTTAAAGCTTGATCATAATGGAGTTTCATTGGTGATCTAAATTTAAATCTATTTTCTAGCAAGGTAAGGATCTTTTCCTTGGTTTTCTTTCAAGCATTGACGGCAACTGACTAAGTGTTAATGATTTTATTGAATTGTTGGATTAATTGAAAGGATTTCCAAGATTTTAATTGATTTTCGGAGCTAATTAATGTGTTGCTTTCTTGAATTGATTTTGAAGTTTTCTTAATGAACTCGAGTTTTTGTGGAGTGATTATAATCAT